ATGTCCTTGAGTTGGAAAAAGTCCAGCGAAGGGCAACCAAACTAATTAGGGGTATGGAGGACCAGAGCTACGAGACGAGGCTACTAAATTTAAACATGTTCACATTAGAGGTGAGGAGATTAAGGGGGGATATGATTTCCATGTACAAAATGTTTAATGGTGGTAGCAACATTAGCGATAAACTGTTTAAAATTAACTCCGTTACAAAAACTAGAGGCCATCACCTAAAATTGGTGGAAAAAAAATTCCAGCACAAGGGGCGAAAGGGGTTCTTCACAGTAAGATCAGTTAGGGTCTGGAACTCACTGCCACAGGCGGTGATTTCAGCAAATAATGGGGAATTGTTCAAGAAACTTTTGGACGATTTCTTAAGGGACCGTAATATACAGGGGTACGGGTACTCCTAGAATGAGATCCTAATAGGTTGGACTTGATGGACTAATGTCTTTATTCAACCTCAAATACTATGTAACTATATAGTAGTAGACGCAAAGAAGCATGGACTACCAAGCCCCCCCCAAGCCTGCTAACTGGCTAGGCAATCAAACATCCATAACACAGACCTCTTCCTCTCTAGCACACCCTGCTGGAACATGCTCAAATAGCATGTGGCAAAGGAAATACATTCTATGCTTAGAGATTGCTCCTGAGACAGACAGTTAGCCTGACTATAGCCCACTGCTGGGTACGGAATTACAACAGTAAAAAAAAAAAACACTAGCAAAATTACTATATTCCTTCAAATACATGGAGCAAATGTTTATAATTTTCTTAAACAAACTTATTATAAGATGACACTAACGTTTCCATAGTTGTTAAAGACTACATCTGGCCAAAATGAAAACCCACCCGATTCCTCCTAACACCCACCTTTAATCCACTGCTTCAATGCAGGCCTACTCCTGATGTCCTTTAGGACCATGTGAGGAACATGCCAATAGACCTAATAAGAAAGTGCCCACATCACTTAAAGAATGACCCTTCCATTCTGCATTGAAGAAGAAAGAAACTGGTGCATCATGTGACTGCAGATTCAGAGAAGTATTTGGAGCATTTAGATCATTTTTTAAAATATAATTAGGAGATTAGCTGGAGGGGGTGTAGGTTAGTGAGGAGTGACCCTGGCCACAGATGAAGGCCATTATATATTTCAAAGAGAGGTAAACAAATCGATTGTAAAGATACAGCACTGTCAGCATGTATTCTGCAGCTGTTCTGTGGCCTTTACCATCCATTTTGTAGCACTGTACAGCTGTAAGCCAGCATATGTAATAGCGGAGGAGCAAGGTATCACTGTGAAGCTTTTCCTATTTGTAGACCCAGTCCCCATGGAAGAATTGACAAATGTATCTGTTAAAGGCAAGCATGCAAATTAAGCTAGAAACATGCAAAACATTTCTAAGAAGATATCACGCTTACTACGTGTCTTTGCTTATAGACAAACTGCATCAAGAAATTGATAAAGTCATTGGAGTGAACCGAGGACCTAACATTGAGGACCGCAGCAAGATGCCTTACATGGATGCCGTAATTCATGAGATCCAAAGGTTCAGTGACGTTCTACCACTTAATCTTCCACATGCTCCAGTACGAGATATGAAAATTAACGGCTACAACATTCCGATGGTAACTTCAGTTGTTTTTTTTATTTTTATTTTTATTTTTATTTAACATTTACATATATAATTTTTTCAGGAGGTTAGAATTTAATGAAGGGCTGGAGAAATAGTAGGAAATCTGAGGTCTGCAAATCATAAAACAAGACATTTAAACAATAATTTTTTTTTATGAATTGTGCAATTAATCTAATGGGTAAGTTTTGCTGCCAAAAAATCAATCCTCTCCTAGTCTGTTATGTACATTGCATTTACCTTATCAAATGTATTTGCAGCAGTGACGTGTGGTACCTTCACTTCTGTAACGCTCCTAGTTCAATGGTCAGGATCTCAACTGCGGCGTTATATAACATTAACGGATTAGACACCTAGGTAATTAAGGTTTGGTTCTATAGGTTATTCAGTATGAATTCCAGGTGGCTCTCTCAGACTTAATTACGGAGAGTTAGGAATTACTAACATCATACACCTTATCCCTATTTAATGGGGAATGTTTAACTAATCTAGAGCAGCCCAACCCCTAGTGGACGGCTGTGGGATTGCAGGAATAGCACGACTGTACAGGTGAGAGTGAGTACAGGAGAGTAACGGCTATAGCTGTTAAAGAACTAAAGCATGTAGCCATTCATGGACGAATATGCAATTGATGTTACTTCAAGTAAAGGATGGAGTTCCAACTAATCAGCAGTTCATAGAAGCAAATCAGCAATGGCTATGCAGGTATCATGTAGGGTTAATCAGTCAGCAGTTCATAGAAGCATTTCGGCAATGGCTATGCAGGTATCAAGTAGAGTTAATTAACCAGCAGTCCACAGAAGCATATCAGCAATGGCTATGCAGGTAACATGTTGGGTTAATCAATCAGCAGTTCATAGAAGCATTTCAGCAATGGCTATGCAGGTGTCAAGTAGAGTTAATTAACCAGCAGTTCACAGAAGCATATCAGAAATGGCTATGCAGGTATCAAGTAGCAATCAGGTAAGTATTAGTCCACAGGCTTGTATTGTATTTGGTGATAACAGCTAGATGCAAAGTCTCCTGATACTTGGGTTAGATGAACCCAGGCTGGGTCAGCGGTGTCTGAGTCCGTTGGAGCGGAAGGGAGAGAAGTCCCAATGTCCCCAGGTTTGTAGCTTGAGGTGAATGGAGCTAGCAGGGCGCACACTCCACTTAGCTCCTCTTCCGCATTTAACGGTTCAGTTGGTGTGGTGGGCGGAGCCGAGTGACGGCCGCTCTGCACGTTGGGTTCCACTCTGGAGCGCAAGCTGTGATTGTCGACATGGGGATCTATACGCTGCGCCCCAGGTGAGACGCTATATGACGAACATATTACAGCTTCTTTCAGTGTGAACGGAGGGAGGAGAGAGGGAGGAGCCTGGCTGTCCCTCACTTGCTCATCACTGCTGAGGCATTGAGATCGATGGTCTCAGTGGGGTTTTTTTTTCTCTTTTTGATTGGACAGCTTGGACCAATGGCGCTTTGCCATTGGTCCCAACCATCCACACAGCTCACGCCTCTAACATAGAGTAGATGCTGTGACAGCCCTCTGCTGTGTAACCTAACTACCTGTCAAAAGCTGGATGCAGCACTGCCTGTAATTAACCAGCAGAACTCCAACGGGGGGATGGCACGCCAGTGACATAGCAGCTAGGGGGAGAAAAAAAGGCTGTCAAGGCAAGATACAGGAATCCGATATACCTGAAAGTGTGTCGAAAGTAATGATTCTTCAGGCGACTTGGATCAGAAGCAGAGCAAAGTTCATATAAACTGGTGCCAGGACAGTGAAGTATAAAGTATCTTATCTTTATCTTAAAATTTCAGCAATAGAGTCACTATAAATTGTAGACAACCAAGTATATGTCAATATCTTTAACCACACCCCATCAGATTCTCTTTCATTTCACACCCCCATCAGTCCATCTTTCTGATGCAATTTCTTCCTAGCCCCCTCTCCTAGCACTTGCCCCCCCTCTGGCACACTCGCAGTTTAGCAAACAAATCAAATTTTCTTAGCATTGACTTACATAGAGCTCTTTCTTTATCATTTAAACAGGGTACTGATGTATATCCATTGCTCTACTGTGCTCTAAGAGATCCCAGCCATTTTGAGACTCCATGTAAGTTCAACCCTGGGCATTTCCTGGATGAGAATGGTAGCTTCAAGAAACATGATGCCTTCATTCCATTTTCCACAGGTATACAGTTTTGATATAGATCTGTATAGACATACCAATGATCATTAAAAGTTTTATTACCTGTTCATTCTGCCAATAGATCTGTTACATAGTTACATAGTCAGGTTGAAAAAAGACACATGTCCATCGAGTTCAACTTATAGAGATAGGTTGTTATTTTATATTTTTCCACAACCTGTAATAGGTTGGCAAATCTGTTTGTTATGCAGTGAAATCGTTGTCACCCCGGAGAATGGCCAGTCTGGATGGATGAGTAGTTTTAAATAGACTATAACAATAAAGGATAAAGCCCTAACTCCTAACAACAGTTTTAAGCAGTTACAGCAGCAGGTTTTTGGGGCCCCTATTGGGGAGATTTTCTGTCAGAGTTTCCTGAAGGGATTTTAATGGTCTCTGCACCTTCCAGTCCTGGAGTCATCACTTATTTCTTGTAGTATGAGACATACTGCAAAACAATCTCACACTGTGAAGATAAATAAGAAATTATTGGTTGCTGTGATCCTCCGGATGCATGATGGAGACTGTTGTATCGGGCTGCCTCCCTCTAATTTGTCTAGCCACTGTGGGACATCTTATGACACCAACCTCCCAAGATGCATCTGGAAGACAAAAGCAAAGTCTTAGGGATCTGATTTCTTACATTTTTTTTACTTACAATTTCAGATGTATTTTTTTCACATCTTTTAGACAACTGGTTGGCTTCAAATTAAACATGTAAGGGTAGAAACATAGGCATTGACATTACTGACATGTTTTAAGACAGTTCATACTGCTAAATCATTATGCTTCTCTATTGCTTAAGTCACTAGCCTAAAAAAAATATGCAAGGTAAGGCAATCTTTTTAAACTTTACCATCTGGACACTTGTTCCAGGTCAGTAATTTACTAGGCCATAAAACAGGGATCAATATGATATTCTTGGAGCCAAAGTGATCAGTGGTAGCTTCCATGTTCCTGTCCTCAGAAGTTTAATTTTAGTTTTGGGAAAATGGTTGTTATTTCATTGCTGTCTTTATCTCCACTGGGGAGAATTCCCCTTGTCTCCTGTCCTGATGACTGGTGCCACCAGGGACAGGGGATGATGGGACATTTCGTCAACAGCAGTACAGACAGTTATGAAAAAACCTTTATGCCTGCACACAGAACTGCTAAAAGTTTGTCAGTATCTGCAGACTAGAATAAAGTTGATCTAATTTAAATGATCAGCAGTGTTGAAGTTTTGCTGTTTTCATTTAACCAGGTAAACGGATCTGTGCCGGGGAGGGGCTGGCTAAGATGGAGCTCTTCCTGTTTTTCACCACCATATTGCAAAACTTCAAGCTGACCTCAAAGATGAAATTTACTGACGCTGACATCAGTCCAAAGATGACCGGATTCTCCAACATTCCAATAACTTATAAACTCTTGTTTGTCCCTCGTTAATCGAACACGCATTGAGAACTTTCATATGGACAGAGTCATTATACAAGCCACTGGAGATTGACAGATAATGTTGCAATTGTTGTTGTTATGGACTCCTTGTATTTTATGTCATACGAATTGTATATGCAACTTAATACTCAGTATGATCTATACAACTGAACTGCATTCATACTGCACATGCATGTCTTAGAGGAAACACCCAGATCAATTTCCAGTTCTTCTTTAAGTACTTCAGAGCCCACCCAATTTTCTTCTATTAACAAGCCTTGGGCTAAATGGTGAATAATAGAGGGATTTGGCTTACCTGGTATGGCCAAAGTCAGCACTGGATGCTTTGAATGTAGCTCAGCGAAGAAGAAAAATTATTGTCCTACCCCAAGATACATAACCTGGCTGCCAAAAAAACACATACAGAAGACAGATGAGTCTTTAAACCTTTTATTGAAATAGCTCACATTTCTAGGAAATAGAATCCCCCATTCTCAGGGCTGTCCAAGCAGATAGCTGAAAATATGCAAACGGTTTTGAAAGTTCACAGCAGCCTACTCTAGCAAAATAATAATAAAAAAGGTGTTTATTAGGTACCAATTTTGGGCGTAATTAGGCAACTGCTGTGACCATCCTTTTTAGCTAGAGCTAGTTGCTCACACACAGTGACTCGGTATCTGTGGGAAGAAAGCTGACAGCACATTATCTCTGCTGCACCGATCTCCCAAGCAGTGTTATCAGCCCTTCCAAGGTTCTCCATGCTGAAATACAGAACCTCTTACTTATGTTATGGAGATCAGAAGGGGCGATATTCTGTAGTCCACTTGTTGCCGCAATACACAAGTGTAGATGAGCCCTTAATGTTAGAAACACTTTTTAGTTATGTGGGTTCTTTTGTGCTGAGTAGTTGGAACGAGTGCTTGGGATTTTTGTTAAAACTATACCTAAATATGTATTTCAACTGTATATTTAACTGCTCACCTGGGGCTTTCATTTTTTTTTTTTTACTAACAAATGAAAGAGGGTTCTCACTTTTTCCTGCTGACATATCCTGTATCACTGTTAATCACAACTATTTGTTCAGCACAGAACACAGTACAAAATGAACTCAATCAAACTTTAAATGTCTGAGCAAAAGTCTTTTTTATTTCATCTTTAAATAATTGTATCTAACTGTTACACTGTAAGAAGGTGAACACCTTAACAAGAGGACTTACATTTTGGTTAAAAGAGTTATGGCCTATATATATATTATAAATATTTTATGCAATGTTGTGGTTTAAACAGCCTAATAAACAATCCAGTGACCTTATCACTGTGTGTTATCTATCTGGAGGACTGGAGAACATTTTACCTCCTGGTGGCTTATTCCAATTTAAATTTAATTGAATAATTCCCCAAAATCGGCAATGCTTTAGCACAAGAAAATGGGACCACAGATCTTATGATCGTTCTATTTTTCATCTCTTCCTGTCTTCCTACTGGCTAACAAAACCCTTTACACTTTTCAACCAAAAGAGGGATGTGAAGAGCAGAAAGGGTCGAACCACAATACAACAATGACAGCCATGGTTCCTATTTCCTACGTAAAGTACAGTTGATTAGAAGTATACCAGGTGACTGAAGATTGTGTGCAGCCAAAGGGAGATGCTCCTTTAAGTTGTGAACCTTGAACATATCTTTAATTCAGTGTATAGCCTTTTCCCTGATTACCTGAGTCATATGAGTCAATACTTTGAAGAAATGCATAATCCAGTCCACTTTCTATAAAAGGGTCGGCTCACAGCAGCCATATTGTTGGCATGTTTTGAAGCTGTTAGGAAGAACTGGCAGTTCTGTATAGAACGAGATACTGTATTTTATTTTCTTATATTTTATTTCATTTGTTTTTTACATTTTGGCATTGGTACATGTCCTCCATGGCAACCCAGCTTCCCGTGCCTTTTATTTTAGAATGGTATGATTTTAACCCTACAAATAGCCAGAATTGAACATTAAGATCTACTCACTATACACATTAATGGATTTTGCCATGTTTGCAAAATTCAAATTTCAAGCAAGATTCACAAAACTGTTTACAAACCAAATCCAGGCAGATTTGTTCTCCCCTATCATCAACAAAGACATGGGAAGATGGCATATTTCAAAAAATATTTTGTAAGGAATTGAGATTTTATGGAGTTAAGTTATTGACTGAAAAATGGCAGCAGGATGGAAAGGTTTGGGTCATTGGAAAAACAGGCTGACCTCTCAGTTATCTGCAGATTTTATGCACAGGGCAGGTTGCATCTTAAAGGCACATCGTGTAGCTTTTAAGACATACTTGCAGCACAACAACACAGTAAATGAGAGCAAAATACATAGGGTTATACTTCTCAACAACTTACAAAAATTTGTCTCACGCAATCACACCCGGTCTGGGATAGCCAACAAAACAAACAGCAAACTTTGTCTCAAGTTTCAGTGCATGACACGGGCATATTTAATACGGATTAGGATTAAGGGTTTAAAGAGATCACAATAAATGGTTGTTGATATTTGATATGAGCTTGGTGTCCTTTTTAAATCCTTTCTTTTCATTTACAACAAGGGTTTGCTATGAAATTACTTGTACTATAGGCAAAATTGTTATATCAAAGCCATTAGAATCCTGTGAATTTCACTTAATGTGTTTGACAAACCCCCAGATTCTCTCTCTATATAAAGAGATTTAATAGTGAGCTTGTTGACAAACCGATCACAAGATGGATCTGACTATACTAGGAACCTTGATTTTGGCTATTGTTATCTCTTTTCTCATGGTTTACTCGACATGGGACAAAATATACAGGAGAAGGAATTTACCCCCAGGACCAACTCCTCTACCCATGGTTGGAAACCTGCTACAGATCAAAAGAGGGGAGATGGTAAAATCTCTTATGGAGGTTAGCAATCTATATTTAATTTTTCGTCTGTCGGAAATTATTACTATTTTTCCACTGATGGTGGCATATTCACACTATAAGTGATACATCTGGTATTTAATGTATTTAGACAGCCTTGTAGGAGAATATACTACTGCCAGCAAAAAGCGGCAAGGGGTATTAGGGTGAATTAATGGAGACTGGGTACTCTTTGCCAAGGTCACAACTTAAGATAAAAAAGACTAAAAATGTACTTTCATTATATAATCATTTTTGATAGCGCTCCCCTTTTTCTCAGAGATAGAAGTCTGGCATGCCATTCATACAGCCATTTCAGAAGGCCAAAAAATTGGCCTTCTCCCTCAAGATAGTATCGGGGTTACATGCAATCTACCCTTTACCCACTCACTATAACACAAAGTAGAATGGATAAAAATGTTTTATTGAAATCTCCCACTTTTATATTATTATAATATAAAGAGAAAGTAGGCATATTTTCTTTCTTCATACTCCTACCCTGGGCCATCCACCGATAGTAAAAAATAAATAAATAACTAAATGATTATAATAATACAAAAAATCTTATGCACAGTAAAATATCAAATCTTCCCACTTCTCATCTTCAGTTTTAAGCTATGTTTACCCCTTAAAATATGTAACTATAGTACATACATACAATATTCACATTCCTGTACCTCCTCCTAGGCATCAAATTCTTAAAAACAACCAACATGAGGCAGTATTTATAAATGTTTTTACCCAAGATTTACAAAATTGTTACCCTAGATTCACACATTCCAGCTGAATCAAATTAGAAAAATGTGTGAATCTTGGATGAAAGATGTGTGAATTTTTGGTAAAACACATTTATAAATAGACCCCTTACTTTCACATGTCAAATGTTCTGCTGACTTTTGTGCTTTTAACATAGTTTTTTTCTTAAAGAGAAGCATTTTTCTTAAAGAGAAGCACTGTGTTAATAACCTCCTCATATGCATATTTGTGTTTCTTTGTATAGGTAGGAGCTCGGTATGGTCCAGTGTACACATTTTACTTTGGACATCGGCCAATAGTGGTTCTCAATGGTTATATGGCAGTAAAAGAAGCTCTTGTTGATCAAGGGGAAGAGTTCAGTGGCAGAGGGAGGATGCATTCAGTCGACAAAATCTTTGATGGGTTTGGTAAGAAATATTTGATAATTTGTTCAACAAACTGGGCATTATTAATGTGACAAGCTGACTGTAGTATGAACAACTTTCAATGAACCATCAATACATGTTCAAAGCACTATTAAAATTATGGAAAGTGCTAAAATACATAGCTCAGTTCTTCTTCACTCTGATGCAAAAGAAGAATGTCAGAGCTCAGACAGAGCAACTGATTAACTGTGTATGTCTGAACCTCACGCTGAAGGAAAATAAGAGAGTCTGAGTGAGGATAATCCTTTGATGGGTCTACTTGAATGAAAAATTGGTTGCTTGTAAGGCAGAAGAAGACCAAGGATTTGAAAAGAAGAATTGCATCCATCTCTATAGCTTGTATTAGCAGCACCTGGGGTTAGGGGGGGCGCATTGAAGAACCTGCTCTTGGGGCAGCAGGGAGAGATAATCCAGCCCTGTATATGGCTCATAATGGATTTAGTCTGTAGTAAAGCCCAATCCCAGAAACCCAGCAGTTTTTTTTTAGTTTTGGAAAGAGTGGGAAGAGGATAGCTCAATCAGGCTCGGACAGCATCAAACAATGTAAAATAAAGTAGTAATGACAGAGGGTCAGCATAGCAGCCTGCCAACTAGTATTCTCAGACCCCATATTTCCCTCATGGCAGGTTATTTTATTAGTAAACATTACTGGTAAAGGGCTGATTTCTCTACCCTGCTGATGCATCCAACCCCTAAATTGTTTTTTTCTTATGAATATTGTTCATTTTTTCATGAGAACAATGTCATTTATCTTTGGTGGCCCTTTAAGGTGTGGTGCTTATGGTTTTTTTTTTTCTCAAGCATACCACACAACAAAGATTCTCCTCCTAATGATGCACAGGTGAATTTCATCTAATTGACTGGGCCATTAATTATCTCACGCATCTCAGTGGGTCAGTAATTATCTTGCTTCTCTCGGTGGACAAGTCATTTTGGAAAATGCTCTCACCCGGGGGAATCCTCACATAAGGCTATTTTGGGGGTAATTGAGGAGAGTGTTGAGAACCCATACTACAAAACGTAACCGGTGGGGTCACTTACTAATAAAACATCCACAAGTGGACTCTAAAGGTGCCCATACACTGTACGATTCTTACCTGGGGGGGGGGGCACATTTTAAAGCTTTACTTACTGTTATTAGTGTACCAGACATCTCATCTCAAGTACCTGCATGCCATGTTTGATTCACGTATAGTGTTGCATGGGCCAGGGTAGGGAAAGGCTATAACCAACAAACAGGGAGCTGATCAGTTTTTAAGGGAGCTTTTTTCATAGTAAACAAGGCTAAACTAAAACCTCAAAACATTTTCTGCAGATAGAGTTTATAGGCCAATGTACATATGCTTTGAAGACATCATGCAAAGTGCAATGGCTATTTGTACATGCAGTAACTTAAACTGGCCAATCAGTTTTCAGTATATTTAAGGGATATAAAGTATGCATGCAATTCAGAGACTCTATCAGTAAAGAGGTTTTTCTTTGTGCTTAGCTAGAACTTAGATGGCTCAGGCAGTGGGTTCAGTGTACAGAAATATAATCTGCTCTTCTCAACCCATGAGCCAACAATCACAGTGATCTTTAGTTATAGCAAGTGAGCATAAGCATTTTGATTTCTACAAACCTTTTTTAAGCACACAATAAGCACACTCTGCCTCCAGGCCCCATAGTAGCCACATGGGCTGGTATGGCTGTAGTTATACCTTTTGGAAAGAGCTCTGTCTGTGGATCAACCAAAATCCCAGTTGGTTTCATAAATCTGACAGTGTCTTGACCTAGCCATAGACAGAAAGACATATATCTCCCTATGAACAACAGGGGGAGAGAAATATGCACATCCCACATGAGTTCTTGAACACCTGTAATACTTTTCTGATACATACACAAGTATTTTAGGTCCTAATCTTCATGGATGAGTGAAGGATTGGACCTGCTCCCAGGAAGACTTTACAACATGAAAATTTTCCTGTGCACTTCCCAAGGGGTGTCTTATTTCCAGCTCGTGCATCACAGATGGGCAGATTGTCACAAACAGGGATTGAGCTGTAAAGTGTTAACTCAATAATTAACAAACCCCCAACTTTCTCCCTCTTTTTCTTTATCTGATGATGGATGGTGTGTGGTCCTTCATCCTTTACTAAACATTGCTCATAGAAGCACAAGTGAGTGCTGTTCAGTGAAGTAGTACTCTGAGCCCAGGCTGGTTTGATGATGTACCCCCCTGGGGAAGTCCATGGCAGTTTGGAAATGGATTAAGCGATATCTGCTGTTGTTTAACTCCGAAGATTTAGTGGCACAAAGCAATTACCACAGGGAACAGCAAAAGGCTGGGCTATGTATTTTTATTATCAGTTTTTTAAATCTAGTTTCACTTTAAATTCTTATTAAAGTGTACAGTATTCTGTTTTGTTGAGATCATTAACTAGTCTGTCTGAATTTGTGTTCCAGGTGTTGTGTTTAGTAATGGAGAACGCTGGAAACAGCTCCGTCGTTTCTCCCTCACCACCTTGAGGAATTTTGGGATGGGGAAGAGGAGCATCGAGGAGAGAATCCAGGAGGAAGCCCAGTGCTTGGTTAAAGAGCTTCACAACTTCAAACGTATGTATCTGTTTATAAAGAGGCAAATCTAAAATGTATCAGTTTCTGTGGGGGAAGATCACATTTCTGCTTATTTTCCAAATGTCCCAAACTATTTCTTGCTGAATTTTCTGATTATTAGTTATTTTTCATAATTTCATGATGTTGCTCCTTAACCATATCACCTTTAACAAAACACTGATGACATATTTTACCAAAAGGTAAAATGTGGTCAAAAATCAAGCCTTGGTTTAAACTGAGCCCATAATAAGCTCATACTGCACAATGCTGAGAAACTACAAAAAAAGCTTGGTGATTGGAGGAGAGCGCACACGGTGACCTCATCCCTTTCCAACCACAGCTTTGACCAATGTATATTGTTTTGACAGCAGGTAAAAAAGTAAATGGTCAGTATGTTCTGACAGTTAGGTTTGGATTAGAAAACTATCTGAACAAAATTACATCTTTCCTGGCATGAACAGTATAACATTCAAACATTGCAATTATGTATTTAGCTGTTTGTGATTTAACATGGCTATACATGTAAAAAGAAAGGTTGTTTAACTCTTCTCTGTACTCCACTAGCTTTTAAGGCCAACTGAACAGCTGGGATGGAAGTTAAAATTGTACAAAAGAAGGATCAACGTTTGTATGTCGCTCAATAGAACCTCTTCCATTGTACCCACAGTGATTTTGCCTTTCAGCTCAGTAGAAGGCTTTAATTTCTTAATTTTAGTGATCATTGAAAAGTGCAAAATCTGTTGCACATTGCATTGCCAACATGCGAAGAACAGAAGTATCACTCAGCTTGACTATGTACTTGCTGCTTTCCAGTATAATTTTCCCAACTCATCCATTGAAATTTACTGACCTGCTTGTACTTGAGTTGATTTGTGCTATTTATATCACTTGCTTGTTATCTCATTCACAGAAAAGCCTGTAGATCCCAGGAATATCCTTGCTCAAGCCATCTCCAATGTCATCTGCTCAGTAGTCTTTGGAAACCGCTTTGAGTATGAAGACCTGAAATTTCTGAAGCTGCTAAACTTATTCAATGAAACTTTTGTGATAATGAGCTCTACCTGGGGGCAGGTACCCTCATTCACTACAAACACCCTGATTTACGTGTATTTCATGTCTACCCAGTTTTCATAAAAATGTTTTTCTATGCATTATTCTCTAAATCTCAAGTTCATAGTTGCCCCAGTACAATACACATGTTGCATTAAGGCAACCCAATGCACCAGAAAAGAGAAAGAAATTAACCTGCACATTTTTTAAAATTTGTTTTGCATTAGTGCATTATTGTACATTGTGGTGCACTGCAATGCGGGTTGCTTGTGGAGGTGTGACAGGGTACCCTTCAAAATTAATGGCACCACAATGCACCAACGTGAGTAATGAATTACCAAAAAGCAATGTCGTAAAGACCGTCTTAAACTATCCTACTTAAGTGTCAAAATTTTAAAATATGAGTATAATTTTATGCATAGTTAATTATTAAATCATTTGAAATCAAGATGTCACTTTTACTTATGGAAAAGTTCATTTTCGTATATGTAAATGTGTTGGCTGAGTTTAGGAAATACAGACACTTACTATGAAACACACTTTGTTAAAGCAATGCCCTTTCTTTTCAGTTGCAGGAAATAATCCCAACGATAATGGATTATATTCCTGGACCACACCAGAAAATCAATCCCATTATTGAGAGCCTGCTGGTATTTGTGTCCGAGAGGGTCAAGATGAACCAAGCAACACTAGACCCAAGTTCCCCAAGAGATTACATTGATTGTTTCATCACCAAAATGCAGCAGGTACAATTAAAATGATAAAGAGTCATTCTTCAGGTGGACCTTCCATAAAAATGCAAGGTCCACTTTACTGACCCCATCCAGCAAATGATCAAAAATAAAGGCCAATTCAGAAATATCTGCATTCCAAAGGTCTTCACTGAAGATAAAAATCTTTATATATGGAGCAAATAGATACGGTTTGTTCCTCCCCATGTATGCTCAACCTCTAACGCCTTTCACCATTCTGGCTTACCCATAGAGATCTCTCTAGTGGAGCCGAGAAAGCAAGACATTTCCAAAATGGAGGCAGGAGTTATGCGTAGGGACGAATTTCACCTTAGGCTGATAAGGGGGATGAGATGCCCCAAAACGCATACCTAGCTATGATAATTTTGTGCGGAGAGATGCAAAATCTGTCCAAGTCTCTCCATCACCGGCTCCACTCCAGCTGCAAAACACCCCAGCTAGTCCATTAGAGACAGGATCTTCAATATACCCTATCACATTTCTGTTGCCACACAAAGACCTACAGTTGTGAGTGCAATTGTTTTAAATTTATATTTCTTAATACATCTTATTTCTTAATACATTGAACTACTACATTATGCCGGTGAACTCTTCTACACATTTGTTTATGAGGTATTTAAATTATATGATAGGTCCACTTTATCAACATAGCTTTTAAGTCTGTTCTGTTGTAAGCTGTAAAAGCTTTTAAAATATTCTTTGTTTTATGAACCTCTGAAGTGCCCAGCCTACTGCCCTTTAATTCTTATTGTGCGGTCTTCAGGGACCCCGTAAACAATAGTCTGTGTTTTCCTTACCTAAGTGCTTATATCAAATATATCAAATATAAATAATTTTTAAGGAGCCTGTAAGGAGCACAAATGTGGAAGGATAGCGGTTTATAGCATGCTCATGTAACATGTCTCGAGTCTATAAATGTCTCCTAAAGCATGTCTTTAGTTTTCAACAACTGCAATAGCATGTCTGCAGTCCCTGAAAACCTACAGTAGAATCACCTTTACTAAACATTATCTGGGTCCCTTTTGTGATGTCAAGGGCCGCACTTGGCCCCCTATATTAAATGAGTAGACCACTATAGGCCTAAACCATACATAATGGGCCTGCTTTACTAAATTATGAAGTTCAGTAAACATGGGCCAAAGTTTTCAATTGGAATAATGTATTGTTTTACTCTTACTATTTCAGGACAATGGAGACCCCACCTCCGAATTCAGTATAAGGAACCTACTTCTGACTGTCCTGAATTTATTTTTTGCTGGGACGGAGACAGTCAGTACTACTCTAAGACATGGATTTCTCATTCTTCTGAAATATCCGGAAATACAAGGTAAAATCACCAACAATTATATGTAAACATAAGAGCAAAACTCTAGTGTGTATCTTTGTTCATCTTCCCGTCCAAAATTTTAATTAAAGATTAAAATACTTATGTTAAATCTCCCCAAATATGGATAATATTACATGCTATGCTGTTAATATTTGCAAGCAAGCACAGACTACATGAGAGTGGCAACTCTGCTTTAAATTCAGGAGAGGTGCAGCATAGTTGCCACACCATCACAAGGAGCTGCTTTAGATGGACTTCACTAACAGGCTCAACATGTATTTGTTAGATTTTTCAGGAGCACCAAGAGATACCCATGTGACCTGTGATGTCATTTTCAGGAGATGGATCTCTGCCGTTAGTTCAAAGTTAGAAAGGAACCACATGATTTTCTGAGTACCATCATGGATCAATAATATGCACTGCAGTGCTAAAAAAAAATTCTCCCCACACGCACATATTAGAACATGCAATGTTCGAGTCGAACCTATGGTCGACTCGAACATGCAGCCCATCCTTAATACACACCAGAACCCATTGCAACTGCTGTGATTGTGGTTACACCCATAGAAGGAACCCTGCAGTTGCAATGGCCACCATTCATTCCTATGGTTCTCTACCCAGGAAAACAAAAATCACTTTTAGATTGAAAATTATTTGTAATTTACATGGGTACTTATAGTGTTGTAGACGTTACTGTAAAATTGTATATTTTTAAATGTACAACCCTTTTTTTTCTGTTATAGAGAAGATGCATAAGGAAATTGATGCAGTTATTGGTCAAAACCGCAGTCCAAATATTGAGGACCGAAGCAAAATGCCTTATATGGATGCCGTTATCCATGAGATACAGAGGTTCAGCGATGTCATCCCAATGAATGTCCCCCATACTGTCATTAAAGATACAACATTCCGAGGGTTCACCATCCCCAAGGTAAGAGGCACAACTTCTATCCTAGAATATGAATGTTATGAAAACACATCTTATTCAAAAGTCACAAAATTAGCTCAGCCATTGTAATTGTTCGGAATTTAGCTTTATTATCTTGCTGATAGGTGGGAAAGATAATAGGACCAAGAGGCACATAATGGTTGTCACCAGTGTGGTGATATACTTTAGAACAGCCAGAGGTATTTTCTTTACAAATGCAAGCACTGAAAAATGTTGTCACCCTCCTCTGGCATGCATTCATATGCAGAGGAGCACTAGGTAGATCACACAAGTATCTGCAATACTTTACAAATCTTTTGGATAGCAATAGAGTTTAGCTGTAGTAAGTATTTATCTTTTTAGCTGGTGTTACTTTTTAGGTTATTGCAGTCCCACCAATATGCAAATAAAATTACAATTATTAGACAGGTCAGTTACATAGGAATATTTTTATATGCCTTATATATTATCTACCCTCAATCTTCCACACAAATAAGACTGATTATAGCCATCTTTGTACTGTAAGATAATCGGGACTCCACTAAACTGTAAATGTTTTCAGACACTGGGAGATAGATGGGAGATGTTAATTATAGGAAGGAATGCTACAATGATGGTTATTTTTCTGTAGTCCACTGAATCTACAATAGGGAAGTGCAGTGTCACCATCCTGGCTGTATAGAGTGTGTGAAGTAAAATAGAGGTTTAACATGACATATTTTGACTGGTAAAGCAGTGTCTATTTCAGACGTGCATTAGTAAAATCATTAAGGACATAATGAGTTTTACTCTATCTCTATAATATTGCTATTTGTATTATGTATTTTGTAATAATTTACATTTTTCTTGATGCCTCTTACTCCTGGACCCAGGGTACAGACATTTTCCCCCTGCTGTGCACGGTCTTGAGAGATCCAAGTCAGTTCTCCACCCCTGACAAATTTAACCCTGGCCACTTCCTCGACAAATCTGGGAATTTTAAGAAGAGCGACGCTTTTATGCCATTTTCCACAGGTAAAACTCAGATTTATTTCAAGAGCAAAAGTAAAATTAAAAACAAAACAAAAACAAAGGTAGACAAAACAAAGACACGGCAAGCAAACTGTTGTATGTGAATGTATTACTAAATTAGACCTTTGTTTTATTTATTTGTTTATTTTTACTAAAAGGATTGTATATATTTACAGGGTTATTCACAAAAGGGTGAAGAATTTATGGAGGAGGCCGGAGAAGTGAACAATATAGGCCAAAATAGCTGATTTGGAAAAATTCTCCAATTCAGCTCACTTTCCTGTTTAGCTATGTTGGCCTAGATTGTTCACTTCTCCTGCATTCTCCAAACTTTTCACCCTTTTGTGAATAACCCTGTCAAATTTTTTTTTTGTCAGCAAAAAAGGGATGAGCAAGATTTTTAATTTTCCCAAAATGTTGATGAGAATCAGGAAATTGCAGCAAAATGTAATTATTTCTGCTAAATTGGAATTAATGGGGAAGGTAACATTAAGGTTTTAACATTGTTTCTTTAAGGGTTACAGAAGTTCTCTTAAAATACCCTGGACTTTTTCGTGTGCCTTTTATCATCCTTAATTTTAAAAAAATAGGTTAACTGAGTAAGGTAGAAAATAAAGTGACAATTCACAAATAATAACTACAAAGAGCTCTAAATATAATAAATCTAACGATGTCTTTGATTCTCATTCATCCAGGTCATGGTATACTTGTACAAAATATACCAAGGCAACTGGACTTGCTGTATTTTTTTCTTGAAGACATTTCGCTGGTTACCTCACTATTTTTCCAATTCAGAACTTTTTAATTGAGAAAGCTAGTTGGATGAACAGCGAAACATCTTCAAGAAAAAATACAGTAAGTCCAAATGCCTTGATTTATTTTTTACAGATATAAATATAACTACAGTGGTACCCCGGTTCAGGAACTTAATTGGTTCCACGATTCTGGTCACGAACCGAGTTGTTTGCAAACCGAATCAAATTTCCCCATAAGGTTCAATGTAAATCAGGTTAATCTGTTCTGACCCCTACGAAGGTGGTTGCGAACCGATTTTGGTCGTGAATAGAATATAATCTTCCCATTGGGTTCAATGTAAATGAAGTTAATCCGTTCTGAACCATATGTAAAAAAAATCTTTAACCACAAAAATATGAAACAAAGTACAGTACAGTATGAAGAGAGTGAACACTAACCTTTCTTGGGGCGACTTCTGGTGTGGAGGACAGGAAGGTGGGTGGGGAGGAGGTTATTGTTTGGAGGGAGAGTCCCCCTCCTTCAGGGGTTTCCTCACTTTTTTGTCTCTTAGCTGCAGGGTCAATTTTGGCGAAAAATCTGTCTAATGTCACTTGTTTTTTCTTGCGCAGCATAACCCTTGTCACCTTCATTACCGCTCTGCACTTTCTTTTTACCACCATGCTTGCTCTGAATTTTCTTGGGAAATGGATTGAATACTGTAAAAAATATTTTGATATCTATCCTGTATTTCAGGGAGGAGGATTTGCCTGGGAGAAGGTCTAGCCCGGATGGAGCTCTTTCTCTTCCTGACAACCATTTTGCAGAATTTCACACTTGTCTCCGAGACAAAATTCACAGAAGAAGATATTGCTCCACGAATGACTGGATTTGCCAATGTTCCCATAGACTATAAGCTATCCTTTATACCTCGCTTGGGTTAACTCAGAAACAGATATCGGACCTAGGCATTTGTAAGAATCTGAATCTACACACTATAAGGCCAATTTTACTTTTAGTTATGTGTTGTTTAATGTAAGGGCCAATAAAGAGGATGGCTGGTTTCCTGCCTGATTTTTTATATAACAGTTTTTTAAAGCAGAACTCCAGGCAAATCACATCTTAACCCTTGTAGTGGGGCTACCCCCGCGTGTTAAGTGCTCATTTTGTCTAGGGAGCTAGAATAACAAAGTTATACTCACCCAAACCATGATACTGGCTTGCTCTTTGACCGGTCCTTTCAGCCTTTCTCCCAGCAGTCTAAGGTCTTGTGAGTCATCATGTCCAATGCACTGAAGGAGCTGAGTAGACGTTTGAGAATATACCATCACTAAAGTGGAAGAGTATACAGGCTGCAGGGAACAGTGTAAGATCAAGCCGGGAAAGCTGTTTGGGTAACTATAACTTTGTCATTTTGGCTCCCTAGACAAAATGAGCACTTAACCCGTGGAGTGTGGGGGTAGCCCCACTGCAAGGGTTAAGGTTTGCTTTGCCCAAAGAGTTCTGATTTTAAGGGTCTCTTATCAGCAGACTTTAAGCAGAAGTTGGGACAGTCTTCCAGACTGACACTTAGCCTGACACTAACCTGACATTTCTATTCTGACAGGGAGAAAATACAAGTAAATAATAAAAAGAAAAAGACAAGGAAACCCAAAGCAATTCAAGAATGGGGATTTTGGTTATTACAAGCTTTCTTTAACATAAAGTCAAGCCCACTTTTTCTTAAACGGAGTAAAATTGCCTATGTGAAAAAAAATAACATTGCTGCTAATAATGAGTTCACAGAGTTGTACAAAGTGGTGATTTTAACTTGCTGAAATTATTATAATTAGAATTTTGTCATAAACAGAATTTGTAAATGTTACCTTTTCTCCTATGCTGTGCTTTATGCATTTTTACAATTATACTTAGTTAGCTTCCTTTGCTCATTTTAGAAAAATTCTTCACAAGTCACAGACCTGTCGGATGAGCTGGACAGTCCGACACCAAAACACTTCAGAGATGGGAAATCATGATGTTGCTCAGAGTGGAACTGAAAGGTTCCCGTCCCTTCTAAATAAATTTAAGCAAAGATATGTACAAACACCACTCCGGCTAGGGAAATCAGTTGGCAGGCAGTCTCCTAACCCTTCACAAAATCTATAGCTTTGCTGGAATGTCAGTACTAGATTCATACACACCAATGGAGTCACGAACAAAGATAAGAAGAGGGACATTTTATTGAAGAACGCATGTAAGACTACTTGTTACTAACTGTAGCACAAACTGTGTCTAGACACTTTTGATCACTGTTATGTGCTTTTGTCAATAAAACCTCCTGGTTCTCATCTCTGGCTGTGGACTCCATTTGCGTGTATGTATCTAAATTTAAGCAAAGGCCACCGTGTAATACCTGTTATGCTGCCCACGCCATGGAATTTACTTCCCAGTGTGTCAAATGCCTGGTCCCACTCTGCGCTCTGGGGTTCCTGCCTCAGCCTCTACATCACAGCTGTGAGCTGTAGTGACGTAAGCATTGGCAGGACAGACCACAAACTTTTACAGGCTGTATTAGCTCTATAATAGAATAAATATGGGTATGTATTCGCTGTTCTCTTTTACAGACTAGTCTTAGTTTAATTTTGTTCAGAATTGACAGGGTTAATTTCATGACACAAAAAAGGATTATTAGAAGGTTTGCATTGGTGCCACCCAGGAGAATGGGTAAGATACTGTGGAAGCTTGTGCTGGGTTAGGAAACGCTGAAGTATGCAGTTGCTGATTTAATCCACAAGGACTTGTCCGTCCAATAATATAGAGAAGTAAGCATTACTTCGATCACATAGCCACCTTACTCTTCTCCATCAGCCAATTTTCAGTAGCACTGGCCTTTAACTAATATGTTTTTTGGTGTTTTTATGTAAAGATATAAAGACTACTTGTCTGTTGTTAAATAAGCTGACATTGTTTTTATCATTATTTTTATATATTCTTACTCATTTACCACCAACGAAGCCTCTGCATGAATAGGGCCCGCCTAGCTTGCCTAGGGTACACAATTTCATATCTGCCTCAAAGCACTCACCGACCCACCACTGGTAACTGGTTAACTGACTTCCAGCTGGTGATCTTTTGCTTGCAGTAAATTCATTTAAGAACTTTGAAGAGAAGGTTAGGTCACGGGATACCCATGATCATTCACAATCCAAAAGGAGGACAAATGTACTTTACTTCTTCATAGATTTAAGCTGACCTAGAATTCTGTGAATAGAGCTCCTGGCTGTAAGTGGATACTGGATATTGCAGCTACTGGCTCTCCAGGAATACACAGTCATATACACATGCAGTCAAGAACCAAGCTTCTACACAGCTTCTTATGGCTCCTAATTCAGGATGAAGTTCCTCCATGACATTGCCCTATTCAGGCTGCAGGCCTAGAAAGATCAGACAATTCACAGCATTTCTCTACCATGCAGGAAGCCAGGGGATAGACTGATTTGCCAAGGTCACTCCCAAACATTGATACCCTCTCCCAGCATGCACCACTGGCAATCATTCTCCTAGTGGTTGGTCAGGGAGGTACAAACATTCCTAACTCTGATATGTGCAGCCTCCAATACTATTGTCAGAAACACTGCCCATTAGCAGAATCAAACAATCACCAGTACTCTGGAGAGACTTCAGAAAGACAAACTAACAATCAGAATCAGACTGACTACAACCTGGCAGCGTCTAATTTTAAATAGACACTCCTGCCTAAAGCAGGGTGACTACAGGATTTACAGCTTTCATTGAAATAATACCCATTGCCATTAAGATCCTTGTGCAGAATATTTCCTGCTATGGGGTGACAGCGCTCTGGCTCTTTCTCCCTGTTGCTCTGTTGTGCTGTCACCTTTTCCCAGGCACTTCTGGTGGAAAGTATAAAGGGATATGCCAAAATACACATAGCACATACATGTATTTCTGTTGTCACTAATAGGAGGCCCACGCTAAGAACTGGTTTGTAGCCACTGTTTGAGTGCATGCATGTAGATAGGCAGTGCCTGCAAATGCAACAAAGAATCAGCATTTTATGAAAAAAATATAAAACTTCGGCTATGGTTTTATACATAATGCTTCAGCAAACTAAATTTATTCTAGTTTCTAACTAGAGAAAGAGTCTCTTTAATAGAATTTCAGCCAAACATTATTTTTAGTTTTGCTTTGAATAGGGAAGGGTTAAAAGGTCAGTAACATATTTTCTGCCCCCTGTTGGGGAGCTTTCTTCTTACATTCCCCTAGCGCTTATGTACACATTTGTCCCTGTCCTCAAAGAGCTTACAATCTACGGTCCCTATCTCACATGTACAGTATATAGGAGAATTAGGACAGAAGCAAATCAACTTACTATCGCGTTTTTAGAGTTTGGCAGTAAACTGGGGTACTCGGACAAATCCACACAAGCATATCTAATGTCCTGTGTGACATCCCATGAAGTGAGGGGAAATTTGCCCAGCAGGAATTCAGGCAGCATTGAAAAACTCAACAAAGTTTACAACCATTTTATCAAAAACCTAACAAATAATCTTGAGTGGAGTTCCACTTTAAACCAATATTTAGCTAATTGGGTCAAGATCATATGACGGTTAAAAAAAACCCTCAAGGCAGCTAAAACCACTGCAAGAGTTGCATGAAGTTTAATGCAGATGTACAGTCCTTTTCATGATTTTTTAGTTATACATGAAAAAAGAGAGCTTGATGTAAATTGTCCTATCAATGTGTATTCTTTGCAATTACACTATTATTATTATTATTTCACAGGATTTATATAGATTTATATAGCGCCAACAGTTTGTGCAGCACCTTACTGTACAATATAAGGAAGACAATACAGTTACAATACAATTCAAGATAAGAGGGTTAGGAGGGCCCTGCCCCCGAGAGCTTTCAATCTAAAAGGAAAGCGACATGTGATACAAAAGGTGGTAGATGTGTGGTGAAGAGTTGTTTGAGACAGTAATAGGTAAAGGTGTGATAGGCTTCCCTAAGGGCTTTCATATATACATGTAGGCAGCCATATTTGCTTATTACATATGCAGGCTTTACTTTCTGCTTGGCTGTGCTAAATACTTTACTGTTTCTTTACACAATGTAAGTCTGTAAGTCACTGGCTGACACAGTGGAAACTATGCACTCCCTGTGGGACTGATGTCTTATCTCAGCAGCTGTTAAAGCTGAGCTTTGAGCATTTTTTTAATGGTGCCCCAGCAAGTATAAAATAAAAAAGCAGCTCAGGCTGCAATACTCTCCTCCTCTTTGATGTTGTCCCTGCAGTAATTTTGTTTAAAGGAGAACTATGGGGTTAGGGCTTTTCCCCATAGTTTTCCGAAGGGTAACGGGAGGACCCAAACTAGCGTCCTCCCGTTACCCAAAGCTCAGTATACCGCAAGCTGCAGTTTGCGGTATACTGAGACGCCGCAGCTGAAACGGATCCCGACAATTATGTCTGGATCTGCCAAGCTGTGTGAGTGACAGTTGGCTCTGCCTATCTACAGGCAGAGCCAGCTGTACCCACCCCCTCCCCGTCTGTTCCGCCAGTCAGCGCTGGAGGATCAGAGCGAGGAGGGGGGAATCCAGTCCCTCCCCTGTCACGGCTCTCTGCCGTGACAGGATCGAGAAGTGAGCAAACGCCGGTATGTGTTCGCTCACCTCCCGATCTACTGAGCCGACCTGTGACAGTTTCATTGTCACAGGTCGGCTAGAACGATGATGATGATGAGTGAAAAGCACTCACCTCATAGTTCTCCTTTAAGGTAATAGGTGTCCTCAGTGTTCCAGGTTGAATGAAGCCCAGCATTATTCAGTCCAGTAGACTGAGGACATCCTTTGTGCGCAGCAAGGAGTCATGAACCCACCACTTGAGGGAGCATCAATACAATTGACTGAGATAATTACAACAGTTGATATCTATCTATATAGATAT